GCCATGGCTGGTTACTCCTTGTGGAAACCCTGGCTCAGTCCCTCTCCCTCCCACCGTGTGGTGCTCGGCTGCCTTTCCTGGCACGTGCCGCTCACTTTGCTTGTCTCAGAGACTGCAGCCCGCAGTAAGGCGTGAGCTGCACTCCCGTCTGCCCTGGCAACGACGGGGACACCACTGGGTTTCTTGGACTGGTAATATGGAGTGTACCTGAAGTTTGGTTGAATTGTCTGTGTTCTCAAACAGACTAACAAGATGGCAGTCACTGCATTGATCAGTTGCAGTGGCCACCCAGCAGCCCGGGCATAAGCTGTGGGTCCCTCACATGGCCATGAACCCAGTCGTGGGCTGGGGATCCCTCACACAGCCATGACCCCGGAGGTGGGCTGTGTGACCCCGGAGGTGGGCTGTAGGTCTCTCACACAGCCTTGAGCCCGGGAGGTGGGCTGGGGATCCCTCACACAACTGTGACCCCAAAGGTGGGCTGTGTGACCCCGGAGGTGGGCCATGGGTCCCTCACACAGCCCTGACCCCAGAGGTGGGCCTGTGGGCCAGCGGTCTGTGCCTTGCTCATACTTTGTCCTCCCTTCCCCAGCAACTGTTCAAGAAGGTTGTGCCCCACCACTGCCTGGGCTGCGTCTGGTCACGCCGGGACAGGAAGGGCAACAAGCACTTGGCACCCACGATCCGAGCCACCATCTGTCAGTTCAACGCCCTCACCAGGTGTGTGGTCAGCACCGTGCTGGGTGGCAGGGAGCTCAAGAGCCAGCAGAGGGCCAAGGCCATCGACAAGTGGATCGGGGTCGCTCATGTGAGTCCCTCGCTGCTGCAGGTCCTGTTTGGGGCTGGGTAGAAGGAGGGGAAAGGAAGCGGGAGGGAGGGGAGCTTTGCAAAATAGGAGTTTGGGTGTTTGCAGATGACAGAGTGTTTCTGTAGGCAGAATTGTGCCAGCAAGCTTTGGGGAATGATGGTGGCATGAGTTCCTGCTGGTTTGAACACATTTCTGTTCCGCGAGCAGGCAGTGCCCAAAGCCGGTCACTCTCTCATGCCTACGGAGGAAGTGCAGCTCGCTGTGTAGAGAATCCACGTGGTCTCCTGTGGCAGGCAGCTTGGTCCCAGGGCAAGGGGCCAGGCAGAGCAAGGCCTGCGCCCCACAGAGCTCTGCTCGAGTGAGGAGTGGGTGTCTCTCCAGTGAGAGGGACACAGAGTTGCCACACTTTCCCTGCCCTCCACCGGCCCCTCCGGCACAGTGTCCAGCGCTGAGGCCCCTCCAGCACTGAGGCCCCTCCAGCACAGTGTCCAGCGCTGAGGCCCCTCCAGCACAGTGTCCAGCGCTGAGGCCCCTCCGGCACAGTGTCCAGCGCTGAGGCCCCTCCGGCACAGTGTCCAGCAGCCCCTCCGGCACAGTGTCCAGCGCTGAGGCCCCTCCGGCACAGTGTCCAGCGCTGAGGCCCCTCCGGCACAGTGTCCAGCAGCCCCTCCGGCACAGTGTCCAGCAGCCCCTCTGGCAGTGTCCAGTGCTGAGGCCCCTCCGGCACAGTGTCCAGCAGCCCCTCCGGCACAGTGTCCAGCAGCCCCTCCGGCACAGTGTCCAGCGCTGAGGCCCCTCTGGCACAGTGTCCAGTGCTGAGGCCCCTCCGGCACAGTGTCCAGTGCTGAGGCCCCTCCGGCACAGTGTCCAGCAGCCCCTCCGGCACAGTGTCCAGTGCTGAGGCCCCTCTGGCACAGTGTCCAGCAGCCCCTCCGGCACAGTGTCCAGTGCTGAGGCCCCTCTGGCACAGTGTCCAGCAGCGCCTCCGGCACAGTGTCCAGTGCTGAGGCTGTGTGTTGGGACACAGCGAGGCTCTGACAGTGACTTTGCCGCACACTGAGTGGAGACAGGAAGAGCAGGCTGAGCCGTCGGGATGCTGATCCTTGTAACTGGCACGGGGCACAGCGCACTCTGGGTGGAGCCTGATGGTGCTGAGTGTGCCATGTCAGAGAGAAGAGTCGACCTCACACTTTCTGGGCTTTGTCACAGTCTGTCTCTGGAGGAGATTCTTAAAACATCATGAATACATAAAACATCAGCCTTCCAGATGCTCTGACTGGTAGGCCCTGGTGTTTTGGGCTGGCCTAGCTTCCTGCTCACTCTGCACCACTTCCCTGGAACCTGTCTTTGGACAAGTGCTCTCTGGCCACATGCTGCCCACCCTGGTCACGAGGCACCTGTCACAGCAGGGCCTATCATGCATCTGTGGCGAGTTCCTGGCTCCAGGCTGTACTTGGGGAATCTGCATCTCATACATGGGACTTGGAAATGTGCATATGTAGCTTTTTCTTTTGATCTGTTTAAGTAAGCGCAGTACTCCGAGGCTTTTGAGCATGGTGACACTTTGTGAGTCAGCATTCACTCCTGTCTGAGGGCTTGCCCTCAGCATCTTCCAGCAGCTGCATCTTGGATGGTGAGCTTGGAGAGATCTCTCATATGTATGGCTACTGTAGCCATCTGCCCCTCTGCCTGTCTGTATTACTGAACAGGTGTATGAGCGCCAGCGGCCTGGCCTGGGGTCAGGGTCCTGTCCCCGTGTGTCACCCAGCAGGTGTGTGCAGGAGGCCTGGCCTGGGGTCAGGGTCCTGTCCCCGTGTGTCACCCAGCAGGTGTGTGCAGGAGGCCTGGCCTGGGGTCAGGGTCCTGTCCCTGTGTGTCACCCAGCAGGTGTGTGCAGGAGGCCTGGCCTGGGGTCAGGGTCCTGTCCCCGTGTGTCACCCAGCAGGTGTGTGCAGGAGGCCTGGCCTGGGGTCAGGGTCCTGTCCCCGTGTGTCACCCAGCAGGTGTGTGCAGGAGGCCTGGCCTGGGGTCAGGGTCCTGTCCCCGTGTGTCACCCAGCAGGTGTGTGCAGGAGGCCTGGCCTGGGGTCAGGGTCCTGTCCCCGTGTGTCACCCAGCAGGTGTGTGCAGGAGGCCTGGCCTGGGGTCAGGGTCCTGTCCCCGTGTGTCACCCAGCAGGTGTGTGCAGGAGGCCTGGCCTGGGGTCAGGGTCCTGTCCCCGTGTGTCACCCAGCAGGTGTGTGCAGGAGGCCTGGCCTGGGGTCAGGGTCCTGTCCCCGTGTGTCACCCAGCAGGTGTGTGCAGGAGGCCTGGCCTGGGGTCAGGGTCCTGTCCCCGTGTGTCACCCAGCAGGTGTGTGCAGGAGGCCTGGCCTGGGGTCAGGGTCCTGTCCCCGTGTGTCACCCAGCAGGTGTGTGCAGGAGGCCTGGCCTGGGGTCAGGGTCCTGTCCCCGTGTGTCACCCAGCAGGTGTGTGCAGGAGGCCTGACTTACCTATGTGTCCAGCCAGGACCACCATGTCTTCTGTACATTTCGTTGGGGTTGGAGGAGTCTTACTGTGGGTCCTCTGATTTATGGTGCCTGGAGTTTTGGGGCTGTTATTGTAGAAGGGATGTTTCTTCCTCCCAGAAAAGCACATTTGAAATGCTTGCTCTTCTTTCTGTTTGTTCTAAAGCTTGAATTGTGTAAAACTCTTTGACCTGGAAGCAGTGATAAAACCACAATGTTTGGGAAGTTCATGGTTGCAGGACAAGGCCATTTGAAGCCAGATAAATGTGAATAATAGTATTTGCTGAAAAGCCAATATGAGTGTGTGGTCAGTGTTTATCCCTGCGTGACTGTCATCTCCAGGACAGATGGGTCACCAAGTGAAGCCAGCACGAGGAAATAGTGTGGTTACTACCCTGTGCATCTAGCATGCAAGACTTCTCCCCGTGTCCGTGTGTGTGCAGGACCCCTCCCCGTGTCCGTGTGTGTGCAGGACCTCTCCCCGTGTCCGTGTCTGTGCAGGACCCCTCCCCGTGTCCGTGTCTGTGCAGGACCCCTCCCCGTGTCCGTGTCTGTGCAGGACCCCTCCCCATATCCATCTGGTATGTAGGTCCCTCTCCTCCCCGTGTCAGTGTGTGTGCAGCCCCTTCCCGTGCCTCCATGCTTTCAGAAGAAAGTACTTTGTGTCATCAATAGTGCCTTTACTGCACTGCATCTGTGTTCACTGGGGCAGCTGGAAGCCAGCAACCACACAGAACATGTTAAAGGCGGGAGCGGGCAGAATCACGCCGTGCCTGAGTCCATGACGTGTGTGGTTAGACTGGAACAGCGAATGTTGGCAGAGCTGCCCCTTGAGGGGCGGGACCCGTGGCAGCGGGGGCTGCTCTGAAAGGAGCAGGGCCAAGTGTCTGTGTACCACCATCTTAACGCACCTCTGGGCCCATCCCTGTCCACACAGGAATGTCGCATCCTCAAGAACTTCTCCTCCCTGCGGGCCATCGTGTCGGCTCTGCAATCCAACTCCATCTACCGGCTGAAAAAGACGTGGGCTACAGTCCCCAAGTGAGTGCCTGGACCACTCTGCCACCCAGATGTGACGGCTCGTGGCTGTACAGCGATATGTCCAGCACCTTGACTGGGTGTCCCTGCTGCATCCCAAAGCTCCAGCCATTCAGAAGCACAGGGCATGGTGTGCACCTGCTGGCCGCCTTCTGGGTCCCCAGTGCCCATCCCAGGTGCCCACCACACCCTCAGCTGTCCCCTCCATATCCCTTCGTTTAACCTTTAGGGCCAGGAGTGAGTTCACTCAGTATTTCTCTCTTGCTGTTGTGCAGCCTGTCAGAGCTCAGTGGGCAGCACACAAGACAGGCAGCACGCTCCAGCAGAGGTTGGGACATGGATGCTGGCAGAGTGTGTCCCAGATCAGGCTGATGGGGCGCCCATGTCCCTGTGGGCAGGACCGAGAGGAGCCAGGTCATGGGTCCAGCATCTGGAGTGAATGAGGCTGCCCCGAGGACCTTATGCAGAGCCTCCTTGTTTGTGACACTGTGTGCAGTAGCAGAGGAGTAGCAGGCTCCAGGGCTGTGTCCTGGGTGGTCAGTCTCCTCGCAATTATTTTTTATAAGGTCATGACCATGTGCACAGGAGGTGAGCTGGTAGATTCTCCCTGCACCACACCATGGGAAGACGTGACAGGCCCTGGTGAAACCATCGGGCCTCAGCATCCCTCAGCCCTAAGGGGTGGGACTCGTAAAATGCAGCCCCTCCTGCTGGCCAGAGTCCCCTGCCTAGCCCCAGCCCTCTTCCCCAACAAGTCTGAGGCCAAAACACAGGTTAAAGACGCACTCGGACCCGTGCGCCCTGTTTGGTCCACACTGCCCTTAGGAAGAAAGCCACGTGTGTTCTGTGTGTGCCTGTGTGACTCAGGCCCACCTCCTGGCTGCTGCCGGGCGTCCTTCAGCTCGGCTCAGCCCCATGCAGCCCCTGCTAAGCCATCTCTGACCCCTGGGTCCTTTGTCTGATAGATGGAGGACACCTGCTGACTTTGGTAGGAACCAGTGGGCCCATGTTGGTGTGTCTCCCGGTGAGGTGACCAGTTGTCCTCAGTGCTCAGTGAAAATGCTACCCCTTCATTGTTGGTTCACTCAGCCCCCAACAGGGCATGGGGAGAGGCCCAGGCTGCTGATGCTCCGACTTCCAAAGCATGCTCTTGGCAGCAGGCTGAGGACCAGGCCGTGCTGTTCCCACCACACTTCTGTAGGAACCTGGTCAGAAGGGCTTGGCCACAATCACTGTGGACCTAACAGCACAGTTGGGGTCTGCCCCAGCCTGGCTGGAATGTTCAGGACAGGACCCCAAGTCTTGGAGTGGAAGCATGGGCGGTGAGCTGCAGCCCTTGGCCACTAGCCCTGACAGCTTGGAGCTGGGCCGTGTGGGTGTGAAATCTTGTGGAGCTCCATGGGGTGCTGCGTGTGGCGTGGTCCTCATCTCACAGCATGGCCTGTTTCCCCACAGAACCAGCCTTTATAGGAGCACAGGGAACCAGAATGCCTCTGCACATGGGCACCCATGTCCTCTGAGCCCTTTAGAACCACTCTGCAGGCCCTGTGCCCAGGACGGTGGGCTGTGGGGGTCAGGTCCCACCGTGTGCCGAGTGTCCTCCTCGTGTCTGCTGCAGGGACCGTGTGCTGATGCTTGAGGAGCTGGCGGACATCTTCTCGGACCATAACAACCACCTGACCAGCCGGGAGCTGCTGATGAAGGTGAGGTGGGGGTGGTGCCCAGCACAAGCCCACAAGGGCACGGCCGCTGCCTCCAGCTCTCATTGTTCCTGCTGCAACGTCTGAGGCCCGAGGGCAGCTGGGAAAGTGCCAAGGCCAGGGAGCTCCACGCTGCACCCCTGAGCTTCCCTGTAACAGCACACGGCGTGGCACTGGAGGTCAGGTGTGCAACGAACGCACTGACTGCTCAGCAGACCCCTTGTGCTGACCTCAGTGGGCATTTCCCAGAAGGACAGGCTGCACCTGCCATGCGTGCCCTCTACTGGGCCCAGGCATCCTGTGGCCAGAGCTGCCCTCAGGGCTGACACATCTGCCAGGAGCTGGGCCGCTATGCAGCACAGAAGCTGCCTCTAGAATATAACATGCCAGGGGCCGCGACAGCAACCAAGTGGCCAGACAGCAACCTGGGACCAACCGTGCCAAGGGAGCTAGTGAAGCCAAGGAGCCCTCGAGTGGGTGTTGGCATCCTGGGTGGCAGGGCAAAATCTCCTGCCTTGAGGACCGTGGTCGATGGTAGGGCTAAAGCAGCAGTCCTGCCTGCCGAGACATGGAGAGCTACCTTCGTTACCTCAGCACAGGTGTTTCCTAGGAGCTGTGGGAGTGGGACCCACGAGGGGTGAACTGGGAGCACAGTGAGGACTCCGCCAGGTGCGGGCTTCCCGCTGGCCCAGCACTGGCGTGATGGCTGTGCTGCTCTCAGAGACCAGGAGAGAAGCGGGTACCTGGGTGTGTTCCATGGCAGGGGGAGGCAGAGGGGTGGAGAGCCCTGCTGTCGTGTGCTACATCTGGACCCATGGATGTGGACCACCTGCAGCCATGGTCCTCACCTCAGTGCCCGAGTCTGCACCAGGGACATGGCAGAATCATTCTGAAGACTGAGCACAAATCAGAGCAGGTGTGAGTAATTGGGGCCAGATGCCCGATCAGGTGTGCCGAGACCAGGGAGGCCAGGTGTGCCCAGCAGACGGAGACCAGGGAAGCCAGATGTGCCCAGCAGACGGGGACCAGGAAGGCCAGGTGTGCCCAGCAGACGGGGACCAGGGAGGCCAGGTGTGCCCAGCAGACGGGGACCAGGGAGGCCAGGTGTGCCCAGCAGACGGGGACCAGGGAGGCCAGGTGTGCCCAGCAGACGGGGACCAGGGAGGCCAGGTGTGCCCAGCAGACGGAGACCAGGGAGGCCAGGTGTGCCCAGCAGACGGGGACCAGGGAGGCCAGGTGTGGCCAGCAGACGGAGACCAGGGAGGCCAGGTGTGCCCAGCAGATGGAGACCAGGGAAGCCAGGTGTGCCCAGCGGACGGGGACCAGGGGGGCCAGATGTGCCCAGCAGATGGAGACCAGGGAGGCCAGATGTGCCCAGCGGACGGAGACCAGGGAAGCCAGATGTGCCCAGCGGACGGAGACCAGGAAGGCCAGGTGTGCCCAGCGGACGGAGACCAGGGGGCCAGATGTGCCCAGCGGACGGAGACCAGGAAGGCCAGGTGTGCCCAGCGGACGGAGACCAGGGAGGCCAGGTGTGCCCAGCGGACGGGGACCAGGGAGGCCAGGTGTGCCCAGCGGACGGGGACCAGGGAGGCCAGGTGTGCCCAGCGGACGGGGACCAGGGAGGCCAGGTGTGCCCAGCGGACGGGGACCAGGGAGGCCAGGTGTGCCCAGCGGACGGGGACCAGGGGGGCCAGGTGTGCCCAGCGGACGGGGACCAGGGGGGCCAGGTGTGCCCAGCGGACGGGGACCAGGGGGGCCAGGTGTGCCCAGCGGACGGGGACCAGGGGGGCCAGGTGTGCCCAGCGGACGGGGACCAGGGAGGCCAGGTGTGCCCAGCGGACGGGGACCAGGGAGGCCAGGTGTGCCCAGCGGACGGGGACCAGGGGGGCCAGATGTGCCCAGCGGACGGGGACCAGGGAGGCCAGGTGTGCCCAGCGGACAGGGACCAGGGAGACCAGGTGTGCCCAGCAGACGGGGACCAGGGAGGCCAGGCTGGGACTTAGAGAGGAATGAATGTCAGAGGAGGTGGGGCAGCTAAGAGGACTTGCCCAGACCCTGGGCCGGTCACTTCTGCCATGTGGCTGCTATGTTACCCAAGGCTGGTCACTCCCATGACTCAGTGTGGCTCAGGTCCCGGGTCTCCACAGGAGACGGTCATTTCCTTGTCCTGGCTGTCACAACATACCGGTTAGAATCGTCTGAACAGAACCTGTAGCTGGGCTGGCTGGTAGCATCCTACAGACAGGCTGAGCACATCGCAAGGCTTGATGGTTGTTTATGTTCCTAATGAGAGCCTGAGGTTGGCTGTGTGTGCCGTGTGTGTGTTCCTGTTCCCGTGTGTGCCCACATGAGAGCCTGCGGTTGGCTGTGTGTGCCGTGTGCGTGTTCCTGTTCCCATGTGTGCCCACATCAGAAGTATGTGCTGGCATCTGCCTGGGAGGGAGCCACTGTTAGCAGTTACACCCACACGTGCAAGACTGGTGCTCGGTCTGAGAGGTAACCATGCACGGCCATGCATTTTGGGACAGGGTCGATGGCTTGATCTCTGAGGAGGGTCTGGCTCCCAGGCGTGTCCAGTGCAGGCCTCCCCAGCCACCCTACTGACTGGGGCACGAGCAGTGAGATGCAGTACCCGACGCACTGTCCATGCCGTCCGGGTCCTGGTGAGGTTGTGCCCCAGAGATTTCAGCGGCCACCAAGTCCTCTCACTGCTCTTTCTTCAGGAGGGAACCTCCAAGTTTGCCAACCTGGACAGCAGCGTCAAGGAAAACCAGAAGCGAAGCCAGCGGCGCCTGCGGCTCCAAAAGGACATGGTGGGTCCCTTGCACCCAGGGCCTGCGGGGCCACAGCAGTGCTGGACGCCCACTGGGCACCCGTGCCTCCTGGCTGCCCGTTGTGGGAGCCACCACTCACACTGCCCCTGGAGCATGTGCTGTGGGATCAAGGCCGCACAGCAGCATGCTCTGCCCTCGTGGTCTTCCTGCACCTCCGTGCCCCGGGCCTGGGGAGAGGCCGTGCCGTGCCTAAGCCTGCTTCTGCTAGTCTTAGTGTCAGCTTCCTGTGCCCATATGGGATGTAGTGCCTCCTTCCCCCGGGGGTTGGAGGGGACTGGCAGCCTACCAGAGCCTGCGTTTCCCAGGAGGGCTCTCTCTCAGCGATGCCTTCCTGTCGCCCCGTGTGTGATGTGGGACCGTGAGAGTGCCTGCTCACTGCGAAGACTCCCCTGACAGCCACAGGCTGTGCTATAAAGTAGCTGTTACCAAAACAGGGTAACCTCTACAGAGGACGGGAGGGACTGTGGGGAGGGCACCCATGTGTGGCCAGGAAAGCCATGGCGCAGCCTCCAGAGGGCAGAGCCCAGCAAACGGCACCTTCCTTGCGGACAGTTCTACACAGTGAATTTGTGATTTGAGAAAGTTTGAGATTCACAGAAAACCGGCAGAGGAACAGGAGCCCAGTCTACATTCCCGCCACCAGGATGCCCGTGCCAGTACTGGCACCAGTGCCCATGTGTCAGCACCAGCAGACGTGGCCTCGTCCTGTTCACGTGGGCCATGAGGGTGATGTCACTGCTGGTGGTGTCCTCCCCCTGTGGCAGCGTGCATGTGTGTGTGGTGTGAACGTGACCTTGACCTTCAGCTCTGCAAGTGACCAGCCCTCCACGCTCCCAGCCACTAGTCCACGGGGCAGCTCAGCACTGCCCTCCCCACACTGTGCAGCTGGTTCCAGGGCTGTGCTCCGGAAGAGCAGGCAGTCCATGGCCTGAGCCCAAAGGAGCAGCCCCTCTGCGAGGTGTTCACGCCCCCGTGTGGTCTCTGGCTGTGGGATGCAGGCTGTAGCCACGGGCCCCGTCCGGTCCTCAGCGCTCGGCCCATGCCGCCTGTTGGACTCGCACATCCTGACATTCCTGCAGGGCGGTGAGCAGTGACACTTCCCTCCTCAGGGCATGATGCAGGGGACTGTCCCCTATCTGGGCACCTTTCTGACTGACCTCACCATGCTGGACACAGCCCTGCAGGACTACATCGAGGTGAGCCCGCAGAGCGAGGCCGGGCCCGGGGTAGCTGACTGCAGCTCACTTGTTGCCCAGTGTGGGAACACAAGGACATGGCTGAAAGGAGCAGCCCGGGGGAGGGGGCGGGGGGTCTGGGGCTGTTCCCAGGCAGCACGGCTGACCGCTTGTTCTGACGGAGGTCCTCTCTTCCAGGGCGGCCTGATCAACTTCGAGAAGAGGAGAAGGGTCAGTGGAATCTTGCTCTGCTTTTCTGGCTTTCGTTACCCACCTGGGTGTCAGTTGGGAGAGTGAGGACTTGGCAAAGGTGCTGCTACGCCCTGCCTTTGCATTCTTGTGCACTCACCCAGGGAGAGGGCTCACTCGGCCTCTGTTCAGAGGCCAGGAGCTGCCCAGGGCACCTGTGGCAGTGCTGGGAACACCCCCACCCCCAAGGACAGGGCGCTCCCCATGGAGCCATTGCCCATGTGTTGCACCCATGGAAACTCCTGAAAGGGTGCATTTCAGGTGTCTCGCCACAGCTGGGTGGTCAGGGGCCATGGAATCCCTGTAGCACAGACCCAGGCCGGCAGCCTTGGGAGGGAGCCGGGACATGGCCTGGCTGCTGTGAGGGGCAGGGGATGGGGGAAGCGTCACTCCCATCCACCTGCGTAGGCTTGGCTGTCTGCACTGCACACTCTGAATTAGCTAGAGAAAGGATGGGGCTATGCACATTGCCACAAAGCCTGGGCTCAATGCACTTGACCCAACACGCTTTCACCCTTGAGTGCGAACCTCAAAGATTTACAGGCTGGTGGGGCAGGATGGGGGTGGCAATCATGGGACCACCTGGGTGGGCTAGGGCCAAGGGGCATCTCAGTGGCTGGGACAGGAGCAGTCACCTGCAGTGGGTGGGCTGGAGGAGTTGGCCCTGGAGTGGAACCAAGGGACACACATGTTCTGAGGGCCCCCTCCCCGTCACCTGGGTGATGTAAGCCTGCCCCTCTGCACGGGGCTGGGGAGGCAGGTGGATGCTGTCACCCTGCAGGGACAGGAAGTGGATTGCATCGTCACCAACTGAGAGCACCCCTGGGGGCTGCTGGGCTGGGGAGGGTGCTGGGCCAAGACCCCTGGGTGCTGCTGGGCTGGGGAGGGCGCTGGGCCAGGACCTCTGGGTGCTGCTGGGCTGGGGAGGGTGCTGGGCCAGGACCCCTGGGTGCTGCTGGGCTGGGGAGGGTGCTGGGCCAGGACCCCTGGGTGCCGCCTCGGGGGCTGGGGACCTGAACTCTGCATTCCTGCCATGCACGGAGCAGTGTGGCGAGCTCTGAGCCCGTGGTTCAGGACCCGGCTATGTAGACCTCAGGCCCCCCTCGAGCTCACTGCCTCACACTCGCTGGGGCCAGGCATGCCTGGGAGCTGTAGTGTTTGTGATGGTCACGTAACAGCTGCTTCTCTGTGCTGGGTGAAATGAAAGCGGCTGAGGTGGCGTTCGTATGCCTGGGGCTGGGGGTTCAGGGCTGGTCCTCGGTCCTCCAAGGGGCTGTCCTCACGAGCCCGTGGTGGCTTGGGTGCTCACAACACACCTGCTATCCCATGTGGCTGCAGGAGTTTGAAGTGATCGCCCAGATCAAGCTGCTGCAGTCTGCCTGCAACAGCTACGGCATGAGCCCAGACCCCAGCTTCATCCGCTGGTTCCAGGGGCAGCGGCTGCTCACAGAGGAGGAGAGGTGAGTGGCCAGGACCCACAGGGTGAGCCAAGGAGCAGTGGGTGCTGGGTGGGACCTCCTACCAGCAGCTGCCAGACCTGGGAGCTCCGAGAAAACATTAGGGGTGCTCCTGTACCCAGCTCCTGAAGGAGGCCTTCCGCTGACAGCTGCACTGGCTGCCCCGTGGTCAGTGAGGCTGGAAGGAGAGTGGAGCACCACAGCCATGCAGTGTCACTGGGGCTGGGCGGCTCCGGGAGACTCCAGGACAGATGAGACATGGGGCACCAAGGGACCTGAGCATCTGTCTGTCGAGGGGCAGGGGAGACAAAAGACACAGGAGAACATGAAAAGGACACACAGGTCACACAGGACATGGGGAGGACATGAAGAGGACACACTGGACACAGGAGGGCATAGGACACAGGAGAACATGGGAAGATACACAGGACACAGGAGGACACAGAGGGCATGGGAGGACACACAGGACATGGAGAGGACATACAGGACACAGGAGGACACACAGGACACGGAGGACACACAGGACATGGAGAGGACACACAGGACATGGGGAGGACACAGGAGGACACAGAACAGAGAAAACAGGACACGGGAGGACAAAGGACATGTTTGGACACAGCCTGTGAGGCCAGCGGACAGCGTTATAACCCCTCTGAGGGCAAGTCAGGTGGCACCTGTGGCCTGAGGGCCTGTGCATGGGTCTCCACACCAGGAGTAGGTGGAGCCAGCTTAGTCTGCCCTTGGACTTCTGAGTTGGCCTTCAGGCACAGGGTGGAGCTGGGGCCTCATGAGTGTTAGTTATTTAAAAGAATGTAAGAGTTCTAGTTTTAGGTCATACGGCGCAGCTAATTCTCGAAACCTGGTTCTTTACCGTGAGCTGAAAACACCAGACGCAACGAAGTATCTTAGGAGGTTTATTCCAGCGGGGCAGGAACAAGGTGGAGGTAGTGGAGGTCAGGAGGAGAAAAGAGGCAGAAGGAAACACCTGGGGCCTTTTATGCAGGTAGGCCCGGAAGGTGTAAGGGGGGGCGGGGATTGTGGGGGTTTGAGGGCAGGCCTCAGGGGATTGGTGCCTGCAGGTGAATGCCTGGGGATGATTGGTGAGTGGGCAGGGTTGGGGAAGGGGCTGGGAGATTGGGGGTGGGGTTCTCAGGTGGAATGCCAGGTTACATCTGATTGGTGGGTGGCTGGATTGGCGCGAATTCCGTGAGCTGTGAGGAAGAAGAAATGGCGCAGGTGCAGGGCATCAGTCTCCGTGATGACTTTCAAATCACTCCTCACAATGAGCACCTCCTGTCTGCAGCTATGCGCTCTCCTGTGAGGTTGAAGCAGCCCCCGAGGCCAGCGCCACCTCGCCCAAGCCACGGAAGAGCATGGTGAAGAGGCTGAGTCTGTGAGTGTCAGGCTGGGAGTGAGGTCAGGACGTGGGCCTAAGGGGCTGTCAGCATGGGGGAGGGGCGTGGGCCTAAGGGGCTGTCAGCATGGGGGAGGGGCGTGGGCCTAAGGGGCTGTCAGCATGGGGGAGGGGCGTGGGCCTAAGGGGGCTGTCACCATGGGGGAGGGGCGTGGGCCTGAGGGGGCTGTCACCATGGGGGAGGGGCGTGGGCCTGAGGGGCTGTCAGCATGGGGGAGGGGCGTGGGCCTGAGGGGGCTGTCAGCATGGGAGAGGGGTTTCCGGCCATCTTGCCAGCTCACTTTGCACAACAGGGCTCCGTCCCCAAGGCTTTGGCAGAATATTGGGAGCAGAAGTGTGTGTGCGTGTGTGTGTGCGTGTGCGTGTGTGTGTGTGTGCGTGCGTGTGTGTGTGTGTGTGTGTGTGTTATAATGAACACGGGATTTATTTCCGTGTATTTGTACTATGAGGAGCTAGAGACCTTACATATCTGCTTCAGGTCCCAGTGCCCACAGTGATCCAGGCTGGGCTAGACCACCGCCAGGAGCCCAGCTCTGCATCCCTGGGGGTGGCAGGCTCCCTGGTTCTCAGCGCCGGCCCACCTGCTGCTACCACCCTGGTGTGCACAGGTGGGAGACAGACTGGCCTGGGAGCAGGTGTCTGAGGCGGCCCTGGCTGTCTGCCTCGGCCTGGTCCCATCCATGCTGGTGCCCAGGGAGGAGCAGGGCTGTGGTCGGAGGTGGTAGGCCCGCAGACGCGTTCTGGGGCAGCCAGGTCAGATGCTGGCTCCTTGGTTGGGCTTTCTCAGCAGATGTGTTCCTGCAGTGACGATGGTGGGCCCCGAGCAGGGCCCGACAAGGATCTATCCTAAGCTGCCAGGCTCCTTAGCCCCGGGTCCGCCCTCTGTCCTCTGGGTGTCGCAGCTTGCCAGCCAGGTCCCATGTCCTCCACAGGCTCTTTCTGGGGCTGGATGTCGCCCCTGGAAGCTCTCCCACCAAGGAGCAGCTCAAGTCGGCAGCCAGCGGCAGCTCCGGAGAGAGCATGGACTCCAGCAGCGTGTCCTCATGCGAGTCGAACCCCTCAGAGGCTGAGGAGGGCCCCCTCACTCCCGTCGGCACGCCTGGTGAGCCTCAGAAGGTACGCACGCCACAGCCTGCCCTCTGCAAGCCCCGAGGGGCGTGCCTGCTGGCACATCACTGCCGTCTGGGGGTCAGACTGGGAGCCCTCCTTGGAGAAGCAGGGACCCAGCAGGGAGCCTGTGCCTGTGGCCTTGGAGGTTCAGTTCTGCTGAAGGCTCCCCACCAGCTGAGGTCGGGTCGCTCTCCCACCAGCCCTCTGAGCTGCCCACACGCAAGCTGCCTGCGTGACTAGAGCTTCTGGCAGCCCCTGTTGTCTCTAGGGTGTCAGGGAGCTGGCTGCTTGGGCTGAGCCTGTGCTGGCTGGCTTAGTGTGCCAGCAGAGTGCTGTGAGGTGGACTCAGGTGTACAAGGGCCCTGCAGCCCATCACAAGGCTCCCATGGCAGAGGCCATGGGGGTGGGTGGGGGCAGTCAGCCATGTCTGAGCAGAAGGGAAGGAGGGAGGAGAGAGAAGGCTCCACATAGCATGGCTGCTTCCCAGCATCAGGCAAGCTGGGTGTTCCTCTTGCCCCTGCCCTGTCTTGGTCATCTGGTTCCTGCCCCTGCCATGCCTTGGTCTGCTGGGTCCTGCCCACCCCTGCTCCTGCCCTGTCTTGGTCAGCTGGGTCCTGCCCGCCCTTGCTCTGCCTGGACCAGAGCCTTCTGCTCCCGATTGGCTGTGTCTTGCTGTGTGCTCCCTCGGCCAGCCTGGCTCTGTGGTCACTGCCAGCCCTTCACTGTGGCTGGGCTGGTGAGGCTGAGTGGTGAGACAGTCCCGTGGCTTCATGCTGCTCTGTGCAGGGCCTGTGTATCCCTTCGTGTGGTCTCATGGCAGGAGGGGCAGCATCGAAGCATTGGCGACTGTCCCAAGTGGCTGCCCACATGGCCTTGTGTCCACATGGCCTTGCACATCCCAGGGGTGTGCTGAGGGCTGCACCTTCGCGTCTCATCTCTGGGCTGTGACTTCGGGGGATGCTGCCCTGGCACTGTCCATGCTGGGCTGAGTGCTGCCAACGCCAGAGGACTGGCAGCATGGGGATTGAGCAGTGTGTGCCATACGGTTCTGAGCTGTGGCGACCCCAGCCTCAGTGGGAAGCATGGTGCAGAAGTGGGGGCCATGTGAAGCTTCATGTCCCCGGCCTGCAGGGCCCCGGGTCACCCGCCCTGTGTGCGCCATCGCTTGCTCAGCTCTCATCCGTCCCTCACCACACTGCCCCTTGCTTTCTGCGTGAGCACTGAGCTTGCTTGTCCCAGCTGGGGAGCTGGGGCTCAGCACTGCATGGGTCTTGTGCTGGGGGCTGCCCCGCATACTGCCCCGCCGGGATCCTTCCCTCGATGGTGGCCTCCACACAGCCACCTCCATCCCGCCTCAGTTTCTGAGAGTGGGGGACACACATGGTTTGTCCGGGGCTGCCTTTCCCAGGCAGTCTGCACACCCGGGTATGAAGGTTGGCAGAATTGTGGAGTCTAGCCAAGGAAGGAAGAGGAGTCGTCTCGGCTGATGCCATCCATACAGGCTGTTGTGCTACCAACGTGCTGGCAGCCATCACACTGAGCTGCTGCCCTCTGGAGCCCAAGCCCTTGAGGCAGCAGCCGTGTAGCCCGGAGCCATATCCCATGGGGAAGGAGCGCGAAACAGGAAGTCCCTGCAGGACATTTCCCGTGATCAGGGTGGTGGTCTGGGGAGGCCTTGGCTCCCCTGATGAAACTGACGTGCTTGCAGCACTGTGGGGTAGGGGCGTGGGAGGTGTGCTTCCCGTCCCTGTCCCCCCAAACCACCCCTTCACAAATGTGGGAGAGGCGGATGCTCACCAGTGCACAGCTCCTGGCCGCCGGGGTTGGAGCTGTGTGGCACAGGGAGACTTTGCAGCACTCTGCAGCACCAGTGTCCCTTGTCTCAAGCGCTCCTGAGGACGTAGGCCGGAGCGTGAGGCCAGCCCCTGAGCACCTGCCGCCAGGGCTGTCCCAAGGCTGTCCCAGGGCCCTGCTGCTCTTGGGCGGCCTACCTCCAGAGCGGCCCTCTGCTGGTCACCCTGGCACATGCCTCCACAGTGCATGGGGCTGTGGCGGTAGCGGGGGTGGCTGGGCACGGCCCGCCCCGGGGGCCCTCTGCCCTCTGCCCTCTGACGCGCCTGCACGTGTCCCTTTTGCAGCTGTCCCAGTCATCTTCATGTTCCTCTGTCCACTTCATGGACACCAACTCCTCAGGGATCTCTCCTTCAGCCAACCCCCTGTCCTCGCCTACGTCCTCCAGCAGCAACCCTCGAGCCCACCAGCGCTCCGTCTCGGCCACGTCCATGACCTGCACGGGGCTGCCACCTGTTTACAACCAGCAGCAGGAGGACAGCTGTATCATTCGTGTCAGCGTGGAGGATGGCAATGGCAACATGTACAAGAGCATCATGGTAGGCCACACCCTGTCTGTGTGTGTGAGAGAGAGAGAGAGAGAGAGCAGGGCCTGGGGTGTGAGAGAGGGAGAGAGAGAGAGCAGGGCCTGGAGAGTGTGTGTGTGAGAGAGAGAGAGAGAGAGAGCAGGGCCTGGGGAGTGTGTGTGTGAGAGAGAGAGAGAGAGAGAGAGCAGGGCCTGGGGAGTGAGAGAGGGAGAGAGAGAGCAGGGCCTGGAGTGTGTGTGAGAGAGAGAGAGAGAGAGAGAGAGAGCAGGGCCTGGGGTGTGAGAGAGGGAGAGAGAGAGAGCAGGACCTGTGTGTGCTACTGGTGTGTGTGTGTGTATACATGTGTGTGTGTGTGAGAGAGAGCAGGGCCTGGAGGGGTGTGTGTGTGTGTGTGTGCGTGTGTTTCAGCAGGGCCTGTGTGTGTATGAGAAATAGAGAGCAGGGTCTGTGTGTGAGAGAGAGAGCAGGGCCTGGATTGTGTGTGTGTGTGTGTGTGTGTTTCAGCAGGGCCTGTGTGTGTATGAGAGATAGAGAGCAGGGTCTGTGTGTGAGAGAGAGAGCAGGGCCTGGATTGTGTGTGTGTGTGTGTGTGTGTGTGTGTGTGTGTGTGTGTTAGAGCAGGGCCTGTGTGTGCTACTGGGGTGTGTGTATGTGTGTCAGCAGGGCCTGGATGTGTTACTCGTGGGTGTGTGTGCATCAACTCTGCCCTATCATGGTCTTACAGATCGCTCGGCCTGGAGCTGGCCTTGGCCCCTGGTTGAGTTGCCCACCTTGGGGTGGGTCACCCCCAGCTGCAGCCCCTGACTCCTGCTTCTTGCTGGTGCAGGCCCTGGGATGGGTTGGGGAGAAACTGGCTCAGGTTCTTGGGTTGCGGTCCCCTTCATGGGTGCTGGATGGAGTGGCAGGTCCTGGCCCTGACCCGACGTGGCCACAGTTACTGGGGCACTGGAGGAATGAGCTAGTGTGAGAGCTCCGTGGCTTTCGGCCCTGGATTAAGGCAACAGGTGTTCATGTTCTTAGAGCTGCTGAGTCCTACCCTCACACCAGACACTCATTCCGCTGTGCTGGAGGACTCCTGGGGGTGTGGTTGGGGCCCCACCACTGAAGTGAGTTGCTGGGCCCTAGTCGTGTGGCTCTGCCTTGGAATGGTGTGAGGCCGTGCTGGGTGGCTGGAGCCCACGTCCCAGGACAGGCTGTGGGCTCTGGCCTGGGGTCTCTGTGCACAGAGCCTCGCTTTGAACACGGCCCTGGGTTGAAGGTTTGCCGTGGATGTTGTGAGTCAGACCCGTAGCACGTCAGTGTATCTGAGGACAGAGCCAGCATGCACGGGCACAGTTGTACCGCGATGGCATCCACGTGCGGCATGCCAGCACTCTGTCTGCTGCTCCAGAGGGTGCGGCTGCGCAGTTCTGGGCATTCAGGGACCATCCTTCCTCACCCCCAAATGCCACATCAGTCTGGCTGGCCAGGGCCCTAGCTGAGTTCCCACATGGGCAGCAGGGCCTGAGCTCTGGGCCCATTCCCTGCTGCTCGGGCCAGATGTGCAGAGAGCTGGGCCGCAAGTGGACACCGGGGACTGGGCCCGACATGGTCGGCTGGGTGGGAAGCAGCAGCTGTGCCCCACACCCGGCTCCTTGGCCGGGCTGCTTAAGACAGAGCAAGGAGGCCCTTCCGGGCCAGGCTGCGGCAGAGAGGCCAGCGGCCTTCTCACGGGCCACTCTGTCTCCACAGCTGACGAGCCAGGATAAGACACCCACAGTGATCGAGAGAGCCATGCTGAAGCACAACCTGGGCTCGGAGCCGGCCGAGGACTATGAGCTCGTGCAGCTTATCTCCGAGGACAGAGGTGGGCAGGGGTGCAGCCCATGCAGGTGGACCAGGTCGTCACACGTGTGTGGGCAGGGCTTGATTATCAGAGCAGAGAAGGGACCCGTGAGCACCTGGCTGGGCTGTCATCTGGCTTAGGTTGCCTGGAGGTTCTGGGTGGAAGCCGGGCGCTGCCCCACACTGGCTGCCTCCTGGAGGGCATAGGCCAAGGCCGGGCATGGGCGCTGCCCCGTGCAGGCTGCCTCCCGGAGGGCATGGGCCAGGTATGGGCGATGCCCAGCCCTAGCTGCCTCCTGGAGGTCATGGGCCAGGTGTGGGCGGTGCCCAGGCCTAGCTGCCTCCCGGAGGGCACAGCCAGGCATGAGCGACACCCCGTCCCCCTCACTGCCCCATCTCCTGGGCTTGCAGAGCTCGTGATCCCTGACTCTGCCAACGTCTTCTACGCCATGAACACCCAAGTGAACTTCGACTTCATGCTGCGCAAGAAGAACACCGTGGATGAGCAGGTGCCACCGCGCAGCCGGCCCAGCCTCACGCTGCCCAGGACAGCCAAGCGGGGCTGCTGGGGCAGCAGACACAGCAAGGTCACCCTGTGAGGCCCGTGGCGGACATGTCCACATGAGGCCCACGACGAGTGTCATAGGAGACCAGGACCCCAAGCATCGCTCTGGAGCCCGTGTGGACATGGGCCAGGTGAACAACTGTGTGTGTACATGCACTGGGCCACTGCATGACAGGGACGGACCAAGGCCCCAGCCGAAGGCCCCTCAGGACTCCTGTGAGTGCAGGGTGCTGGGCTGGGGGACACCAGGCCCGGCTTTGGGGGCAGGGGGACTTTGTTGATCAAGCACTGCAGTTAAGACCCCCTGTGGAGACCCTTGCCCCAAAGGACCTGTTCACACCTCATGCTGCTGCCCTGCCAGGACCCTGGCGGCCACGACAGCCCACCGGGCAGCCCAGCTGCTGCCCCTGGCCTGTGTGTGACCCCCAGGACCCTGCCCCCGCACTGCTACGGGGTGGCCCTGCCCCTGCCAGAGCCGGGCTTGGATGTACGGGAGAAGCACTTTCGGAATGTTCTTTTTCAGGAAAATTCCCCAGAAGCCAGTTTTTATTCCAAAAATTAAAGGGCATGAGGTTAGAGTGTGTGAAACAGGTGGTAACACAGCTCATTTTCCTCACGGCCTGGACTGTGCAGCTTGCAGGCCTGGGAGGTCACGGGGGCAAGGATCTGCCCATGGGCCGGCTTGGGCCAGCTTGGGCCGGCTTGGGCCAGTGTGGCATGGTCTCCCCTGGTCTCCCCTGGCCTCCGGCCATGCCCCCGTTGCTGGACTGACGCAGGATGGAGAGCAAATCCATATGTTGCTGATGGCTGTCAAGGTGGTGATAGCCAGGTCCGTCAAGCAGCCCCACACCTGCACTCCCCTTCCTGGCCGAAGGCAGGGTACGGAGGGGCCCGAACCGTGTCGCCCGTCACCTGAATGGGTAAACTACAAACCAGCCGTGGGCATGCGCTGCAGGAGCCCCAGGGCCATGGGCTTGGGGTTCCAGGAGATCCTGAGGGTGACACCCTGCTGGGCTGTGGGGTCATCCCAGGCTGGCTGAGAGCTGCATCCTGGCCTGGCCCCCTGCTCTCCCACTGGCCCCACGCTCCTGTGTAGCGTTCAGGAGTTTGGTTTCTGCTGTTTGCCCAGGCTGCTGAGCAAACCCAAGCCACCGCCTGACTTGGAGGAATCCCAGGCAGGCCCAGCAGGCGTCCCGTAGCAGGAGTGGGCGCACACAGCACTGGGGGCGGAGGTGTTTGTGTGTGGGAGGAGGGTCGTAGGCAGCTGGTCAGGGGCATTCTGGAAGAGCAGGCCCTCCCCTCATTGTTGCTGGGAGCCTGGCCTGGGGCTCCTGCTCACACTCAGTGGATGGGCCTGGCTCCTGTGCTCGACCTGCCACAAGGCTCAGGCTGGGCCGCCATCCTGCCTTAGCACCCATCCAGCTCAGTAAGTTAACAGCTTCCTTTAAAACATTTGGGGGGTTAGGGAGGAGCAGTGCACCTGCGGGCAACAGTTCATGTCCCAGCGGCCCCACTTCCCATCCAGCTCCCTGCCTGTGGCCTGGGAAAGCAGTCGAGGACGGCCCAAAGCCTTGGGACCCTGCACCCATGTGGGAGACCTGGAAGAGGCTCCTGGCTTCGGATCAGCTCAGCTCCAGCCATTGTAGCCACTTGGGGAGTGAACCGAGAGTAGAATACCTTTATCTCTGTCTTTCCTTCTCTCTGTAAATCTGCCTTTCCAACAAAGAAAAAAATACATCTTTTGATTTTTTTTTATGATTTATTTTTTTCAAATTTTTTTTTCTTTTTTTTGGAAAGGCAGATCTACAGAGAGAGGGAGAGAGAAAGATCTTCCACCTGCTGGTTCACTACTCACAGCCAAAGCTCAGCCAATCTGAAGCAGGAGCTTCTTCCGGGTCTCCCACGCAGGTGCCAGGGCCCGGCTTGGGCCGTCCTCTGCTGCCTTCCCAGGCCACAAGCAGGGAGCTGGATGGACAGTGGAGCAGCTGGGACACGAACCAGCGCCCGTACGGGATCCCAGCATTTCTAAGGGAAGAATGAGCCATAGTACCAGGCCTTAATAAATCTTAAAAAAACAAAAAAGTGGCCCCTCTGCGTGTCCACACGGGCTGGGTCAAAGCCAGAGCCTAGAGCTGAACCCAGGTCTGCCATGGGGCTGGCGGGAACCCAGGTCTGCCAGGAGCCTGGAGCTGAACCCAGATCTGCCATGGGGCTGGCGGGCACCCGGCTCCTTACACTGTCTCCCCAGGGTGCCCCGTGGCCGGAGGCTGTGAGGGATCCCCCCTCTGGGCACTCTAAGGAGATACAGGCATCTCCAGGCTGTATTTCCAAGTGTTTGGTTCCAGTTGTATGGCAGGGTGATGCCTTCTGGCCCAGCGAGGGTACAGTGGGCACCCCAGTCAGCGGGCACAGGGGAAGGGCACCACATTCCCTGTCCTGGAAGCGTTGGCTTCTTCCCCAGGTGCCCAGGCAGCAGAACTGGCAAGAAACGGCTGTAGGGGCTGGCGTACGGGCTGCAGAGAGCAGGGGAGACGCGAGGAAGGAGCTGTGACAGGTCAGTGTATTCCGCCCTGAGCAGAGGCCCTGGTCAGCCTGCACACCGATCCGCGGGCACGGTCACGTGGTGGCGCCCGCTGACAGGCTGCAGACAGGCGCCCACAGGCTCGGCCCTGGAGAGCCTGGCTGGTGTTCGTTCACTTGTCTCCATGCCAAACCTGAGAGCAGGCAAAGCTGAGGGGCATAGTTGCAGGGGACAGCGGGGTCAGTTGTCCCGGGAACCACAGACGCCCGGCAGGGTCTGCAGGCCACGGCCCCCCGGGGCAGGGCAGGGCTGTGTTGCAAGCCGCATCTGTATGCACTGGCCACATGCTGTGCCTAAAATGGCGCCGGCCGGAGAAGCCACACCTTCGTGCGTGTCACGTAGCCTAGCGCATGCGCAGTGAGCTGCGGCGTGGCCGGCACGTGAACACTGGGGACTGACGAATCCAGTCGCCCAGGACCCTGCGTGATCATGACGCCGACCTATCATCGGCGGAGGCGGGGCCAGTCAGCACATAAGAGCAGAAAGACTGCCGGGGTCCGCCCCCTTCCTCTTCCTCATCTTTGTGCGCGCAATAAACTTTACCGCAGAAGGCTTCACTCGCGTCTGCCTCTTACTGCTGGGCGGTAAGACACGTGGGCGCGACAACTGGTGCCGGGAACCCGGGACCTGGAGGGGGCCTCCCGTTTCGAACGGGTGGAAGTCAGAACTGCGGCCAAAAGACAGGTAAGGAGCTCTGAGAGGGAGAACTTTCGGGTGACTAGGAGCATAAATCGGAGGTATAGGAACCACCGCTTCTGGTTATAGACATGGGCGCACGGTTCTCTCTGGTGAAATTTTTGCAGAGGGTTTATGCCCTCCGTAAGGGAGCGGTCAGAGAGAGTGACAAAGCCCTTCAGTCTGCCCAGGATAGTCTCTCAGAAACAGAGCGGGAGAGGAGAACCGGTTTGAAGCAAAAAATAGAGGTGAAATTGAAAGCAGTATCTTCCTCATCAAGTTCGGAGACGTCCGACGCGGAGGAAGGGTACAAGCGGGATAGGCGGCATAGGCGCTTAGAACGCAAACAACCCGCAGGAATCAGAGGAGGATCAGAAAAGGAGAAGAAAGAGAATGGCGGTGCTACTGCGCCGGCCACGCTCGGCCCATGGCCTCAGGGCTCTGGAGCCATTACACTAATGGCTCCTCCTGCTGTGAAGCCATCTGCCCCGCCCATGAGTTGTGGTGCCGGCTCCTCCTTCATCGATCCAGCCACACGCCGGGAACTTCAAAATATGTTCCCCGTCTTAGAAGAAGAAAGGGAAAGAGTTTACAGACAGGTAGATGCAGCATTAGTGCGAGAATTGGCCATGTCTGTAAAGCAATATGGTCTTCATGCCAATTACACTTTGTCCCTGTTAGAACGTATGGGGGGAATGAATATGACTCCCTCTGATTGGCAATTTGTGGTGAAGGCTGTTCTCCCTAATATGGGATCATATCTAAATTGGAAGGGATTATGGCAGGAGCTTTTGGATAGATATCCATGGCCAGTATATACCCAAATTTCTACTGCAGCTATAAAGGCATGGAAGGCCCTTTCACTTAAAGGGCAAGAGAAATTGGGCATCACACAGGTTAAACAGGAGCCGGATGAGCCCTTTGCTGATTTTGTGGCACGTGTAATGCAGAAAATGAGTGTCAAATTAGTGACTGGCATCCCTTATAATCCACAAGGTCAGGGGATAATCGAACGTGCTCATCGCTCTATTAAGGAATTGTTACAAAAACAAAAAACCACCTGGGAATCGCTTGGCCTCGCCAGTCAGAGCCCTCGGGCCACCCTAGCCCTGGCTCTCTTCACCATCAATTTTTTACAGCTGGATGAGCAAGGCCTTAGTGCTGCAGATCGTCATTCCCTTAACACGGCGCAAGAGCAATCTTGGGTCAAGTGGAAGGATGTTCTGGAGTCCAAATGGAAGGGCCCAGACCCAGTTATTAGGCAGGCTCGAGGAGCCATTTGTGTGTTTCCACAGGACGCCCCAGTTCCGGTTTGGGTTCCAGCTCGATTGACTCGTTCGTGTCCATCACCGCCTTCTGACATTTCCGCAACCGCTGGAGCGCTTGCACGAGGATCTGACTTGGGGAAGATTCATGCAACCCCGCAATCAGAAACTCCTCCTACAATCCCACAGGACAATGGTGCCCCGCCCAGTGCAAACACAGCTGATGGTGCAACTAATGGTCTGTATGGCGCTTGTGAAGACCGTGATTGCTGAGCCACGATGAGGAGTTTTGAGTGTTTTTCCACGACCCTTACCGGCCGCCCACTCAGCCCGAGTGTTTCCTTGATTTTTTCTTCTTTGGATTTGCCTTTTCTCCCTTATGATGATATTAAGGAGAATGTGAGTAATTTTTTATTCCCCCTACAGGACACGCTTTATTTTCAAGCATTTCCTGAGAATTTTAGTGTCAAGGTTTATGTGTTACTTCTATTCCTTTTCAAAATGTTTCAACGGCTGCTAATCTTTCTTGCCAGCTTTCTTCTTATCTTTTAGGAAATTGGACGAGAGAATTTGATATTTTACAGTCGGAGTTGAGAATTGCCATTGTCCAGATTAATTCTACACGGGTGGATCCTGTTGTTGCTGAAACCCTGGCCACTTGGATTTGGAACATCACTTCCCATATTAAGGAATGGGTGGGAGTGGTTGTGCTGATTCTGCTCTTGTGTGCAGGCTGTGCCTTATGCCTTTTTTGCCTGTGTCATCTGAGACACCGCGCTCAGCGAGATCGTGTGGCAATACATCAAGCCCTACTAGCCATGCAGTATGGTGACTCCCCCATGGTATGGTTGAGCATGCTTCAACGGGTTTAGTTAAGAGCATGGACATCATGGCTCCTGCACCTCAGGCCATTATGGCATTGCACTGAGTTTGAGCATGATGCGCCCGACTAGCCCTTGCACCTCGCAGGACTTATCCATTGCACGCGAGAGGGTAGTCACTCTTATAACTGCCTTGTCGAGACATTGCTCTTTACAACCACCGCGGTTGTAGCCCATGACGGGTAAGATAGACCCAGACAATTATCGGTCTAAGACAGGGACTACGTCAAGCTACGCAGCCTCCCTATGACGGATCGTGCGCCTTGAGTCTACAACCTAAGACAGGCCCATACCAGCTTATTTTTTCTATTGTGTAAGAAGGGGAGAGATGTTGCAAGCCGCATCTGTATGCACTGGCCACATGCTGTGCCTAAAATGGCGCCGGCCGGAGAAGCCACACCTTCGTGCGTGTCACGTAGCCTAGCGCATGCGCAGTGAGCTGCGGCGTGGCCGGCACGTGAACACTGGGGACTGACGAATCCAGTCGCCCAGGACCCTGCGTGATCATGACGCCGACCTATCATCGGCGGAGGCGGGGCCAGTCAGCACATAAGAGCAGAAAGACTGCCGGGGTCCGCCCCCTTCCTCTTCCTCATCTTTGTGCGCGCAATAAACTTTACCGCAGAAGGCTTCACTCGCGTCTGCCTCTTACTGCTGGGCGGTAAGACACGTGGGCGCGACAGGGCTGGACCAGCCACTCCGGCAGTGACCAGGGCCTGGGCCCAGCCTCCACGCTCTCCGCTGGCCTGGGCCCTCGGAGATGGTGTACACTGAGTCAGCCTACATGGGAGGCCGATGTGTCTGACCCGCAGACTGCCTCGGCTCCTGGGCCAGTGTGTGCAGCCACCCCTTCCCCACACCTGGCCATGACCCCTCAGACTTTGCCTCTTTGTGGCCGTCGTCACAGAACTGCCACAAGTCCACTTCCTGTCTGTGATGGTACCTGTGTTGGAGTGTCTCAGAAGACGCAGGGGGCAGAGGGCATTTGGCTCGGTGCTGGGGGCCTGCGTTCTGCGTTGCCTGACCAGCTTCCTGCCGATAGGCAGCCTGGAAAGCAGCAGGTACTGCCCCTGGTCTGTGGCACTATGTGGGAAACGCAGCTGGAGCTGCTGGCCCGGACGCGGGGGGGAGCCACGGTGCCCGGATCACTTCAGTGAGAGCCAGTGAGGGTTCCTGGGGTTAGGGTCAGGGCTCCCCCTGCAGGACTCTGGTCCCACCGTCAAGTGCAAAGCCATGCACCACCCAGGTCAGCGGACCTTCTTAGACCTGACATATTCCTGGAAACTTCCCGGGGAGAGCGAGCAGCCTGGCATTCCCGAGACCACAGTCTGCATCCTGCATGAGAAGTGCATGCGGCCTCGTGGCCTGGGTCGCTTCCCACTGCCACGCCACACGAAGCCCTCTGAACCAGTGTGCCTGGCTGCAGAGACCGACGCCAGTCAGCTTCGAGCCAGTTTCTTTTAATTCTTCACAGAGCCCCCTCAGGCCAGTGTTCACTTCCCATGTTGCACAGCTCAGCAAGGCACGGTGGGCTCGGCATGCCAGCAGCCTGCCCACCACGACACCGACACACTGCAGCCTCATGAGCACAGAGTAGGGCCAGGCTGGCAAGGGAGGCTTGGGGCACCGCCAAAGCTTATAGCCTTGGCCTGAGGATGCCGGAGGGGTTGGGAGGTGGGCTGCCCGCGACTTGCAGGTGGCACAGGGCCAGAGCCACCCCTGGGCCCGGCTGGTGAGGGACAGGCCTCTGCGGGACGCTGGCGGAAGGTCAGCACCTCTGAGAGGGAGAATTCTTAGGCCCATCAGACCAGCTGATGGGAGGAGGCAACACTCTCGTTCAATGGCCCAGAACTGTGCTGCTCCACAGCCAGGCCCAGCTCCTGCCCCCGCAGGAGCATCCCCGAGCCGCACACGTGCACGCTCCAGCCAGATGCAAGTTGTGACACTCAGGTGCCCGTCCGTCCCCCTAGGCTGCTGTGAGGCGGCCCAGGCGGCGAATGGCAGAGTTAGCATGGCCATGTTGTCCTGGTTTGATGTGACCTTGAGTTCGGGGGTGGGAACCCATCTCCAGGGAAAGGCTCTGAGGGCACACCGTGGTTGGCCAACTTAGCCACACTCCTTACAGGGACAGCAGCTGCCCAGCAGTGGGGTCTCCCTTGTGCAGGGCCTCTGGCAGCAGCGGCAGCAATGTCTACTTGCCTGCCTCACCCTTCAGTCATGTAAAATAAATAATCCAGAGTACAAGGGAAACCCAGCTGCCGGCCATACCACACCTCCCTGGCAGCCTGGCCCCTTCCCCATATATATTACATTTGTCTTCATAAATACAGCAAACTGAGGAGGCTGGCCTCAGCTGTCCACATGCCCCTGCCCACACACACCAGGCCCTGGGTGGGCAGTCTCACCCAGGCGCAGCTCAGGGTGGAGCGTCAGCCAGACCCAGACCCGTCCGCCTGGCTCATGGCCTGCCTGATGGGCAGAGGTCTCCCGGGCAGTGTGGTTCCCCCACAGCGCGTGTCATCTACACGAGGCCCCGGAGCACGCCATGGGAGTGCAGTCCTGCTGCTGTGGCTGCTCCAAGGCCCACCAGCAGAGGGGACACTCACACGGGAAGGCACGGCGGAGGCAGTGCAGCTGGCACAGGGGGCTCTGACTGCAGTAGACACGGCCCCCAGGGACCCTCAGAGCTCGTCCCTTGAGGACGCAGTGTCCAGGGAGGTGGGGGGCAGCTGTGCCTCTGTGTTCTTGGCCCTGTCATGGCTGTGCCCTTGCTGCCGGGACTTCCAAGGGTGGGCCCTGTCCCAGTCGGTGGCCACCGTCTCATTGTCCCAGATGGTCGAGGTCTCCGTGTCACTCAGGTAGCCTGGCTGGCCGGTGTAGTGCGTGGGGTGGATGAGCAGGGGCTCAGCAGAGAAGGCCTTCAAGTCTCGGATCTGGTAATGTGCTTTGTACTCGGCCCTGCAAGGGCAGACCCACATGAGGAGGGGCTGGCAGGGTGCCCCCCAACAGCCAGGTCCCCCGGGTGCCTCCAGGAGGCGGGCACGAGTGAACAAGCATGAAGGCCACACACCTCCCATAGCACACGGTGGACACCCTGTAGGGACTTGTCCATGAGACACCCACACGGGGACGGGCAGGGACTGACCAGGGGCTCCCTACACGGGGTGCTTGTCATACATGATGGGCGGGAAGTGACCGCAGGGGACACTTACACGGGGTGCTTGTCATACGTGATGGGCGGGAAGTGACCGCAGGGGACACTTACACGGGGTGCTTGTCATACGTGATGGGCAGGAAGTGACCGCAGGGGACACTTACACGGGGTGCTTGTCATACGTGATGGGCGGGAAGTGACCGCAGGGGACACTTACACGGGGTGCTTGTCATACGTGATGGGCGGGAAGTGACCGCAGGGGACACTTACACCGGGTGCTTGTCATACATGATGGGCAGGAACTCGTCCACAGGCAGCATCTTGCCAAACGGCTCGGCCCGCACCAGCTTCTGGGCCCCCTCCAGGGAGATGGCATAACCCAAGGTCCAGTAGGAATAGTCAGCCTCCACCAGGTTGCGCACTGAGGGCACTGCCCGCTCCGGCTCCTTCACCTGCATTCTCTTCCTGCCGATGTAGCTGAAAGGAATGCCGCCACGGACAGCTGGCATCAGGGGTCTCTGGCCTGAGAAACTCCTGGCCCAGCCCCACGGACAGGCTGGAAGCCGGGGCTCTTGGTTTTAGGCAGAGGCGTGCAGGCCAAGCCTGAAGACCTCCAGGGAAGTGGCAAGTCACAGTGGCCAGGGCAGGGTTTTGTGCGAGTCCCAGCTCTGATGCCAAGGGATGGAACCATGGCACTGGCCTCGGGGGCTCTCTGCTGCTGGGTTCCTCTGAGCTCCAAGTGGCTCCAGTGGCCCCCAACCCCAGGCCTGGTCCCAGGAGCTGGCCCGTGGGGGCTTGGGCAATGTGGGCTGCAGCACTCACATGAGTTCCCAGTCCAGCCGGGCCCGCTCGACACCCTCCATGAGCGTCACGAGCCGCCTCTTGAACTGGTGCTCAAAGCGCACGTCATCCTCGATGACCAACACCTTCTCCAGTGCTCGGTCAATCACCTGTGGACACGGAGGGAAGACCGTGCGAACCAACCCGCTCCGTCGGGCAAGCAGTGCCTGGGCATGCACGGCCGCTCGGCACTAGAACGCAAACACTGGCCTGTCCAGAGCACAGCTCCACAAGGTCATGGCAGCGAGCACACAGGGTCAGTGTCACAGCCAACCCTGGACGGCAATGCTGGGTACCCCCACCCTTACCTACGATGCCACACACAAGTCTGCACACCACAGATGTACGCATGTGCATGCACACCACGCCAAAATAGCCACGCACCACAAGGCTCCTCGCAGAGGGCAGGGCATGCCAGGCTGCACTGCTGGTCGGGGCAGGGTGCAGCTGCGGGACTGTGTGGTGTTGGGGCATGGCTCCTTGCAGAGGGCAGGGCATGCCAGGCTGCACTGCTGGTCGGGGCAGGGTGCAGCTGCGGGACCGTGTGGTGTTGGGGCATGGCTCCTCGCAGAGGGCAGGGCATGCCAGGCTGCACTGCTGGTCGGGGCAGGGTGCAGCTGCGGGACTGTGTGGTGTTGGGGCATGGCTCCACGCAGAGGGCAGGGCATGCCAGGCTGCACTGCTGGCTGGGGCAGGGTACAGCTGTGGGACCGTGTTGGGGCAGAGCTCCACATGTCAAGCTGTGCTCAGCTGTGTGTCAGACACAGGCCACCCCTGAGGGAATAGCCATGGTCACGATCTTTCAGTCCAGCAGAGGCCAGGGGTCCTGCCCATGATTGGGGGCCTGAGTGCCAGCTCTGCCTCTCCTGACCACATGGCTGCTAGAGTGAAAGTTCCCCTTCCCGTGTGACCTTTGACTCTCGCATGAGGTTACTCAATGGTGACAATGACATGTGCCATACAAACAGGGCATCCTGCAATGATGAGACTGCTCAAGGACAGTGGCCTGGGGTGGTGCCAGACCCCTCTGTACTCCTGTGTGGCTGCCCTCGGGCAACCCTCCCTGAGCAGCCACAAGGGGAGGCTCCTGTGGGCTCCCCTGTCTGCCGAGCCATGCTCACCTCGAGCCATGCTCACCTCTTTCCACACCGAGTAGTGGCTGAGGAAGCAGCCGATCTCGCCCCTGGTCAGGGGCCTGGACGAGTAGGGGTCGCGGTACCCGGGCAGCATCTCAATGTGGAGGGCCTTCAGCTGGGTCGTGTTGAGTGCCCTGTGGAATTGGGGTGAGGTGGGGGTGAGCAGGGCGCATCCCCCTAGTGTGAGGGAGGGAAGTGCGTTTGTCCTGAGAGCCTCCACGCACAGGGAACTGTTTCTTGGGCCTCCCAGCTTCTTTCTTTTTAAAAATTGCACTTATGTGAAAGGCAGAGCTTCAACCACTGGTTCACTCCCCAAATGCCCCAGCAGCGGGGACTGAGCCTGCCCTCCTGGGTGTGTAGGAGGACAGGGCCAGGCGTCAGGCCCACTCCACGGGCCGCGTGAGCATCCCAGCCAGCACTGAGTGGTGGTCCCACAGCGGCTCCTCCGACAGACTAATGCTGTACCTGCCCCCGGGGACAAGCGCCCAGCAGCATCGGACACTGGGGGGGGGGCAGAACACCATGTGCCTGTGGCCCTCCTCTGACCTGGACACAGAGCCTGGACACACAGAGCAGAGATGGCCCACGAGGCCATGGGCGGGGACCGGCAGGTCAGCTCTCCACACCATGGCATGTGTGTGCACAAGGAGCAGCTGTGCTACCATCAAAAAACATGTAGTTCCCCGACAGAACCCGGCTGGCATCCTTGCACTTCCTGCCACCAGGACAGGTACCTCCTGTGCTGGCCTTGCCGTCCACACATGGCAGGAGCCGGAAACAGGCAACTGCATCCAATGGGAGGAGGCTGTGGAGCGGGCTTCAGATCTGCTCGGCCGAGGAAACTGGCCGGACACTGCACCTGCAACACGTGGTCTAAGGGGCTGACATGGTGCAACAGGCAAGCTGCTGACCGTGACCAGGAGCCTGCATGCACGCAGGTTCTAGTCGCAACGGCTCCACTTCCCATCCCTGCTAATGTGCCTGAAAGGGCAGTGGAGGATGCCCCAAGTGCTTGGAGCCCTGAACCCACTTGAGAGACCCAGCTGGAGTTCTTGGTTCTAGCTTTGCCTGAGCCAGCCCTGGAGTGAACCCGCAGGTAGAAGAGCTCTCCTTGTTTCTCTGACTTCCAAGTAAATAAAATCTTCCAAAAAGCGTCCCCCCTTAAATGGCCCAGGAGTCTTCGGGTGCCCCGGAGTGACAGTGATGGAGACACGCCCTCAGCGGCTGGGGGTGACCCCCACTCACTTCCCGTCCACGGCCTCTACGACCTTGACCGCGATGTCCTGCTCCTGCAGTGTGCGCAGCATGCGGCCCCGCCTGTCCTGCCTGCGTTTGAGGTTTATCATGAAGATCTAGCACAGGGAGGAGAGGGGCGAGTGGTTACCGGAAGCTGCCGCAGGCTGTCGGAGGCGTTTAGCAACTCCCTGGGTCGCAGCCGGAGCCACCGAGGGCCAGAAGGGGCCTGCCCACGCTGCTGGCCAGGTGTGTGCACAGGCCTGAGGAGCCAGGCTGTCACCATGTGGCCACCTCGTGACCCACCCACGCCCATCGTGTGTCCCCCGTGTCGTTCCTGCCTGAGGAGTCCCCAGAGTTACTCCGTGGGAGGCCAGAGGTAAGTTAACCGCAAACACACAGCAGAGTGGGGAAGCGACAGCCGGGCAGGTGGCTGACTTCATCAGCACACTCGAGTCATGTCCTGGCATCTCCACTTGGCCAGAGGCTCATAATGCCGGGACGAGAGGGGTGTGACAAGTCCCGACTCGGGGCTTTTTTCCAGAGGTTGAGAGCTGAGGCACTGCGGTCACCCGAGGTGGCATTGTAGCTGTTCCCTGTGGGCACTCCTAGCTCCTGAGAGAGGTAGGGACAAACGGCCCCGCCCCATGACAAGGAAAGATGGGTAGACCAGTGGCACCGTTCGCACATCCCCTAGCTGCAGGACATGCTGGACAGGACACCTGTGTGTGGCTGTGAGGGACCACAGCAGGTGCACTCTGCCTGTCTTGCCCCACCCGGCCCCTCTGGATGTGCTGCTCGAGCTGTGAGGCCATGACTAAGAACTGCCAGTGAGCACCTCGACTCCTAGACCCGCAGACCGGCTGGGCCCCAGAGGCCTTGCACCTGCGGCCATGACAACTCGCTGTGACTGAGCCCCTCCTCCAAGGTTGGGGGGTGCTGGCAGCCAAGCATGGGGACACACAATGTAGCCAGAGGGGGCAGGTGGCGCTGACTCCGGAGTGTCCAGCAGAGACCCTGGCCTAAGAGGCAACAGCCCATTCCCTCTTGTGCAAAAAGGGGCGGAACAGGTGCCTCTCCCGCGCCAGTGTGATGGATGTTGCACGGCAGGGGTGTCACCCGTGTGCTCTGCGCGGTGGCTGGAGCCAGGAGCCATCCCCCAGTGCCCTCCAGCGTTCAGAGCACGTGGTGCTACACGCAGGGTGACACCTCCCTGGGCGGAATCGGGAGCAGTGCCCCTGTGGACCCGAGGCAGCTCGCAGACTGAAATGCCTCATGGAGTCATAGCCTCACGTCCAGACATTTCCAACCCCTGAGGAAAGCTTCCAGGAGCAGGAGTGCGGCAGCCAAGGTTCTCTGGGCCACAGGCAGTGCTGGCGCTCAGTCCCTCACAGCCGTGCCCTGACTGGCCAACAGGCAGTGCTGGCACTCAGTCCCTCACAGCCATGCCCTGACTGGGCCGCAGGCAGTGCTGGCGCTCAGTCCCTCACAGCCGTGCCCTGACTGGCCAACAGGCAGTGCTGGCACTCAGTCCCTCACAGCCATGCCCTGACTGGGCCGCAGGCAGTGCTGGCGCTCAGTCCCTCACAGCCGTGCCCTGACTGGGCCGCAGGCAGTGCTGGCGCTCAGTCCCTCACAGCCGTGCCCTGACTGGCCAACAGGCAGTGCTGGTTCTCAGTCCCTCACAGCCGTGCCCTGACTGGGCCACAGGCAGTGCTGGCGCTCAGTCCCTCACAGCCGTGCCCTGACTGGGCCGCAGGCAGTGCTGGCGCTCAGTCCCTCACAGCCGTGCCCTGACTGGGCCGCAGGCAGTGCTGGTGCTCAGTCCCTCACAGCCATGCCCTGACTGGGCCGCAGGCAGTGCTGGCGCTCAGTCCCTCACAGCCGTGCCCTGACTGGCCAACAGGCAGTGCTGAGGGTCCTGTGGTTGTACTACACCTGCCGATTTCCTAACTGGAGAACTGTTTCTGTAAGGGTGATTACTTGGTGACTCCCGGCCTCATCATTGGCCATTACCTCAGACAGTGAGTGTGCGACTGAGCGCCACAGTGTGGGGCCACTCCCTCCCAGCCTCACCTCGGGCCCCTGCCTGCCCGCCATGCTGTGGCCTCAGGCCACCTGGGGTCATCAGGGAGACCAGCCAACCCAGAACACAAACACAGACACATCCGTGTTAGCCAGGCCTGCGTCTGCAAGCGCTGTGCTACGCCGTGACGGGACCAGCAGACCCGGCCCAGCCAGCAGGCCCGGCCCAGCCAGCTGGCACAGCCTGCTGGGTAAGCAGACATGACAGCCAGCGAGCGTGGCCACCCAGGCTCAGGGCCGCAGAGACCCCGGGCCAGCCGCACTGCCTACAGCTGGCGTTTCCCACCAAGCCAAGGGGGCCAGTCTGCCGTGTCCTGCCAGGGTGGGCTTTGCTGGGCCCCCCAGGTCTGTGACTTTAGGCAGAAGGAAATCTGCCATGGACACCGCGACCCCACGCGGAGGGGCGGGAGCGAGGGCCGTGTCCCGAGGAGGCAGCTGGTCGGTGACCCAGGGATCTGAGTAGCCACGAGCTCCTCCCGGAATTTTCCTGAAGACTCTTGGCTCTTCCCAAAACCTGGTCCCAGTTCACCTCACAGAAGGAACCCCGGTTCCCACCGCCTGGGTGCGCCGGGCGTTAAAGGTGTTGTCCTGGGAGGAGCAGCAGCACCGAGCATGGGGCGAGGGCCTGGCCACATTACAACACACCACACTCCACGCCCGTGACACTCCACGCCCGTGACACTCCACGCCCCGTGACACTCCACGCCCGTGACACTCCACACCCCGTGACACTCATGCCACACTCCATGCCACACTCCACGGCCCGAGACAATCCACGCCCCCCGACACTCCAAGCCCCGGGGAGTGTTCTCGCTTAGGCCCTGCTGCCACTGGCACTGCTCCAGGCTCCTGGCCACGGTTCCTGGGGGAGGCAGAGACCAGGCCGCACCTGCCCCGGCGTGCCCGCTGTGTGTGTGACCAGGACAGGCAGCCTTCCCTCTCTACCCCCTCCGAAGCTGCCATGACGCTGCTGCTGGCAGGACCGCATGGGCTTGAACCAGCTTCTGTCTGCCCAGGCCTGGTGCTGGGGCCTGCTGCCCAACCTCGAGGGTGAAAAACAGCGCAGAGAATAAACAAGGTGGGGTCCGGCATGCTCCTCCCCGCTGCTCACACCCTGACCGGAGGTGTCTTACCTCGTCAAACCCCATCTTGTCCGGATATCTAGGGGCGACAGACACGAACTGGGAGGGCTCCATTGGAGGACGGTCAACTAGAAGACCCAAGAAACTCATCAGTCACAGGCCCTGGGGCAGGAGCCCCCTCCCCCACAGCCAAACCTCAGGGTGGGGGCAGCTGCTCCAGCCTTGGGGCTCAAGCCCCCCGGCCCCCAGAGCCGACCCGTTGACGGCCCACGGCCATGCCTGACCCGCTGCAGCGGAGGCCACCTTAAAGCTGGTGTCCCCAGAGCAGCGGACAGCCCCCCCGAGCAGCTCCACCACAGCACAGGGCGCCAAAGGTGTTGTGACTGCAGCGCTGGGCCCATGCCTGCGCTGGTCCGACCCGTTCTAACCTCTTCACTGTCAGAGCCATCCTCCTCAAACACGGAGCTGTCCATCCCTGGTGCCCTCTGGGGGGTGGACAGGCTGCTTCCTGCCAGCGTCACTCTCATGTGTGTACTGCTCTGACTCATGCCTGCTGTTCGCACTCCCCCGAAGATGACTGCTGGTAAAGGGGTTCCCTTCCCTTCACGGGTCCTGCCTCACCCGACCCGAGCCCCACTGTCCATCAGGAAAACAACCATGCTGGCCGGGACACCTGGGCGTGAGGACATGGACACTGGACGGGCCAGCACTGCTGGACGGGGCACAGCTTCCACAGCAAGCAGCCCTTCCACCACGCGTGACCTGCTTCAGTCACTGTCTCTCCCACTCCTGTGTCATACCTGGGCTGCAGTTGAAGCGCAGCCCGCAGGACACCTGCCTCCCCAGGTCCCTCCTCCACTGGCTCCAGGCCGTCCTGGGTGCCAGGCGCCCGTCCCCCTGGTCCCCTCCATTGGCTCCCAGGCTGTCCTGGGTGCCAGGTGCCCCCACCACCACCACCCCCGATGATGGCAGCCTCCCCCCCATCTCCTATCAGTATATAAATACGCTGCAACAGTCACCTTAAACTTCAAGCACACAGACCGCCCGGTACACGGCCCCTCACCACAGCCCGTGCCCGTGCCCCAGCCTGTCAAGGTGC